GAAATGTGAAGCATCTCCAGGGGATTAGTTCTGAAAAGTTTTATGTCGTTTATGGGGCCTTTTTCTTAGCTAATGTTGTCAGCTCTCATAGTGAAAAACACAACAATTGAATTTCATTATTTTCATAGAAATTAAGGACTAAAATCCCTTCACTATTTTCTAGTCCTCTTTTCCTCCTCCCTAAAGACTACAGCATATTTTAGTTTACAGTCAGGCATACAAGTTCTTCAGGACACTACTACAAAAATACTCTAGAGTTATCAATGACACTAAAAATCCTATGGTTTTAAGTTGTTGTATGTTGCTTATTGTGTTAGACATTTATTTGGACATTTCTATTTAAAGTGTCTACTTATTACACTACACTGTAGTTACTTACTTTTTTTTTGCCCTCAACACAAACTGAAGTTAATCAACTGTAACAGAACAGAATTGTGGCCTACATAATAAAAAAGGACTCAAATCTTTTGGAAAGTGAATCATGTTGCTTGTCACCATCACTCATCACCAGGCACAAGTGGGAGGGACCTTAGAGACAAAGGAGTGGAAATGGGTTTCTCTTCAGGGTGGTGGGGAAATCCCCTCCCAACCTATCTCACCTCTCCAGGTGCCCTTCAGCAACAGGTATAAAGCCTTGGAATCTAAGGATCAGGGAAATGAGAATGTCAATGAAGGTCCATTCAAGTCAGAGGGATCACCTAGGGCAGGGCAACCTACTCCCAACATCACAACCTAGCCAATTAAGAAAAAAAGAAGGGTAGTAGTTGTTGGTGATACCCATCTGAGAGGAGTGGAGGGCACAACATGCCAACTGGACTCAACCTATACAGAGGTGTGTTGCCTTCCTGAGGCCTGGGTAAGGGATATCACCAAGAAACTTACCAGCTTGGTATGGCCCACTGACTATTGCCTGCTACTGCTTTTCCAGGTGGGTACTGATGAAGTCCCAACACAACTACAGAAAATCAAGAGGGACCTCAGGGCCTTGGGCAACTGGTCAAGGAATCTGGAACACAAGTTGTGTTCTCTTCTGTCCTGCCAGTTGCAGGGAATGATGAGGCAAACCCCAAGAACATCACACATATAAATACCTGGCTTTGAGATTGGTGTTACCAGCAGAATTCTGGGGGTTTTGATTGTGGGTTAGTTTATAGGACACTGAGCCTACTGGCAACAAACAGGGTCCACCAGTCTCAAAGGGGAAAAAGGATCTTAGCTCAGGAGTTAGCAGGGCTCGTTGAGAAGGATTTATACAAGATTTGAAGGGGGATGGGGACATCGGCAGGTTCGACAGAGATAAGGTTTGGGAAAGGGAGATCTATAGTGACCACCCAAGTAGCAGAAGGAGATTTAAGAGGGGAGGCCTTCAGCAAGTACAAGCAGCCAAAGACATAACCACAAGACAGGACTATAAGGTGTCCCTGTGCACCCCCACTGGGACATTGACACAATCGAATACTGCTGTAAAGTGTCTGTACGCTAACACACACAGTAGGGGGAACAAACAGGAGCAACTAGAGATCTGTGTGCAGTCACAGGGCTTTGACCTCACTGAAATGATGGAGACATGGTGGGACAGCTCCCATGACTGCAATGTTGTCATGATGGGCTACATGCTTTTCAGGACAGACAGACCGAGAAGGCACAGTGGGGGATTTGCCCTCTGTGTGAGGCAACACTTGGAATGTATTGAGCTCTGTCTTGAGGTAGATGACAAGTAGGTAGAGAGCTTATAGGTTAGGATTAAAGGGCAGACTAAGTACGGGTGACATTGTTGTGGGTGTTTGCTACGGGCCTCCTGATTAGGAGGAGGAAGTGGATGCGGCCTTCTATAGGGAGCTTGAAACAGCCTCAAAATCACAAGAACTGGTTCTTGTGGGGGACTTTAACTACCCTGACATTTGCTGGAGAAGCAAACAGTCCAAGAGATTCCTGGAAAGCACTGATGTAAACTTCCTGCCACAGGTGGTGGAAGGTCCCACAAGGAATGGTGTGCTCCTCAACCTCATAGTAAGAAATGGGGAAGAAACTGTTGGATGCAGCCTTGGCTGTAGTGACCATGGGACTGTGGACTTCCGTATCAGGCAAGGAGGAAGAAGGGAAGCACATAAGATTGTAACCATGGACTTCAGGAGAGCTAACTTCAGCCTTTTTAGTGATCTTCCTGGAAGAATCCTATGGGAACAGGCCCTGCAGGGAAGAGGGGTCCAAGAGAGAGAGGCTAATATTTAAGGAACACTTCCTCCAGGCTCAAGAATGATGCATCCCAATGAGCAAAGAATGAGGCAAAGGGGGTAAGACACATGTGTGAATGAATAAAGAACGGCTGTCATTACTCAAGCATAAGCAGCAAACACACAGGAGATGGAAGCAGGGTCAAGCCACTTGGAATGGATATAGAGAGGTTGTCAAAGTAAGTACAAATGAGACAAGGAAGGCCAAGGCCCACTTGGAATTAAATCTGGCCAAGGATGTCAACGGCAACAAGAAGGGCTTCTTCAAATAAGAAAACAAAGGATAATGCAGGCCCGTTAATAAATGGAGGGGGGACCCTGGTAACAAAGGATGCAGAGAAGGCAGAGTTACTGAGTGCCATCTTTGCATTGGTCTTCATTGACAAGACCTGCCCTCAGGAATCTCTGACCCAGGAGACCAAGTTAAAGGAATGGTGGAAACAAGACTTTCCCTTGGTCAAGGAGGTTTGGGTTAGAGAACACCTAGGAAAAAATGACAGTGAGGCAGCTTGCAATCATCTTTGAAAGGTCATGGAGATCAGGAGAGGGGCCTGAGGACTGGAAAAAGAAAATGTCACCCCAGTCTTCAAAATGAACAAGAAGGAGGTCCCAGGGAACTACTAGCTTGTCAGCCTTCCATCAACCCCATGGAAAGGTGATGAAGCACCTCATTCTGGAGGCCATCTCTATCCACATGACTGAGAAGAAGATGATCAAAAGTAGTCAGCATGGATTCACCAAAGGGAAATCATGCTTGACCAACCTGATTGCCTTCTATGAGGAAACAACTACCTGGATGGATGAGGGTAGAGCAGTGGGTATTGTCTGCCTCTTCAGCAAGGCTATTGACACTGTCTGTCACAACATCCTCACAGGCAAACTCAGGAAGTGTGGACTGGGTGAGTGGACAACGAGGTGGATTGAGAACTGGATGAATGGCAGATTCCAGAGGGTTGTAAACAGGGTCCAGTTGGAGGCCTGTCACTAGTGATATCCTAATGACTCGATGAAGGGGCAGATGCTTTCTTAACAAGTTCACTGATGACACAAAGCTGGGAGAAGTGTCCAATACCCCAGAGTGCTGTTCAGCCCTTCAGAGGAACCATGAGAGGTTGGAGAGATGGGCATAAAAGAACCAAGAAGAATCCAACAAAAGCAAATGCGGAGTCCTGCACCCCATAAACACAACATCCTATGACCTGGAGAGCATGTGTGTGCCTTGATGGCAAAACTCATTCTTATCTAGAAGTTAGCTGGTATTCTGCAAAACATGTAGAAACACTCTTTTACAAAATAACTGATCTTGATATCTTTTCTCACTAATACTTGATTCTTGATAACATATATTATTACATACATGCTTTCTTATTCTCTCTCATTTTTAAGGACAAATTACTTCATAAAATAAGGAAACTAAACATGTTTTGAAAGACCAAGCTTCCTATTCTTCTCCCTTGTGAAAGACATGCAAAAAAATTGTACATTTAACAAGAACTAGTCTGTACACGAAGTCTCCAAGTAGGACATCACTTTTAAAAGGTCATGTCATTGAAAATAAAATGAAAAGAAAAAGTAAAATTTAATAAGAAAGGAAGGAAAAGGAACTCAAAAGGTTAATAATCTATCTTTTAAACAAAAAAGGCAATCTACTTTTTCTCATTAAAACCTGACACACAGCACTAACTGAGGAGATTATGTTGTGAAAACATACTGCATCGCATGGTAATGCTTGATCGAGATCAGCAATCAGGAGCAAAAAGAAAGCACTGTTTCGTGATTATAATAGCAAATTCTGGAAGACAACCAAATACATCATCTGGCAGCTCAACAGCTGTTACAGCTTGGTAGTAATACCTTGGCATTTGCTATAAGCTATAACTTGAAAAAATTGATTTCTCATCTGCCAGAAACAAGAAAATGTTCTCCTTTTAACATTTCTGAAGTTTCTTTCACTAGAATACTGAGTTAATTGATCCACTTTCTTTTTATTTTGCTCAGGTTTTACCCTTACTGCTAAGCTAATTGTGTATCAATTAGATTAAAAAAAAAAAAAAGTTTGAGAGAAAAATACTGAGGGCAACATAAATAAACAATATGTGTTCAGATGAATCCCTTTTTGATGACACACTGGGTAGTAGACAGCAGAAAATATTTCTAATTGTCCTCCTTGGTCATACTCATAGCCATGATCAGTCACTCACTGATCACTTATACTTCCTACCTCCCTGAAAAAGTGACATTTCCAAAATAAGGTTTAGTACCTTTCCACGCATTTTGCAGTTGATTAAGCCTTCTTTTTCCAAGTCAAAGGCATTGCACAAGGATGAAGGATTGAGACAATAATGCTGAGAATTAACAATACCTAACAAACCCAGTTTTAAAATTACTACTGGGTACAGGATAGGAAAAGTAAGAAGGAAGATGCTTATTGCAATTTCTCTAACTACATGAAATTGTTAAAGAACTTGTCCTGTGTTTAGACAGGTTCCTCAAAAAGATCAATTTTCTAAGCACACAATACTTTATTCACTTTAAAGTAAGTAAGAACATGGACTACTTAAAATCTGTCAGCATAACAACTATTCAAGTTATTTTAGGGTTAAGTAAAAGCAATTATTCATAAATATTTTAGATTCTAGCATTTTACTTAGATTTTGAAGTGTCATAAACAATATCTCTCAGAAATCAATATTCACACAGTACCTCTATGGGGAAAAGAAACAACATATACACAAAGGTGGTTTAAGCTATCAAAGAGATCTCTACCTTTACGCCTAGTGCAGTTTTCTTGGCCTCTGCTTTTAATCTTGTAGCTCTTAACATAGGCCTGGTTTTCTTATAATCTTGTTTTCCTAGAGTAGAGAAGCACATTTAATGAAAATAATGCAAAAAAGAATATAAAGAATGTGAGCATTTATTTCAGTTAAAAAGTCAGATGCAAGATTTTGAAAACATCCTACAGTCCATCGTTTTTTAAGCAGCAGCTACTCTGTAACACAGGGACTTGATCCATAGAACAGTGATCCTTAAAACAGGCAATGATAGCAACAAGCAAGAGTCGACAAATCAGCATAGAGCCTATTACTCCAGAGTGACATCAAAATACATATATGGATAGATACCCACTACTACAATGTTTCTTAAGTTGTTCAATAAGAATCAAACAGCAAAGAAGTAGATTAAAGGTGGATGATATTTTTCCCTTTGATTTAAATCAAAACAAAAATTTTCATTAGAATTTTTGTTGGTTAGTCATCCCTAATGCGTACATAAATGTGCAATACAGGCCATCTTCGTGAAAGTAAATGTTTCATTATTCTGAACTGGAACATTATTTGCAGGTATCAGAACTCACAGATATGCAGGTCAGTCCAAGTAAGCACAGACCATTGCTCAACATCTGCTTCTAGAAACATGTTATACAGAAACTTCTAAAAGTGAGACTATCTCTTGCAGTCACAGAGTGCAGCCATGTGCTTGATTACCGTGAGTCCATATGAACTGAGTTCAGAGGAGGTCATGCAAGTATTTAGAAATGGTATAAATCATTTATCTCAACTTAATAATGAAGCATAAAATACTTGATAACTCTCAGGGATATTTCTGCTGTCTGAAAGGTCTGTTACTATGTATTATTAACTGTAGCTTCTTTAAGTTAAGAGAAGCCAAGGTACAGATACAGTCAGAAAAGGAGGAGAAGGAAAAGAGGAATCTGTGAAGAAACTGATCAGAGGGGTAGAGCTTCAGCAGAACCACTTAGGCTTTTCAGAAGAGTCCTTTCTGGTTTCCGCCTCATAATGCATACATGCCTTTCTGGTTTTTTGCCTATTTCCAAAGCTGAGCTACAAAGCTTAAAGCAGAATGTCTTTCTGTTTTTAAATCACTAATTTTACCTATCTGTACATTAGCTTTCATTACTGTTACAGTCAAATAACCTTTCCTCTAAAACTGTGTCCCATTTGCTCAACGAGATGTGATCTTACATTCATAATCAATAACATAATCTTCTTATTTTATGGTTATCTTCATAGCTGTGGTTTAATAGAGCAGTGATGAAACTCTGAACCATGAATTGGAAAGGAAAGGTCTTCTCCAGTGATATACTGTATTCATGGAAACAGACTTCTGCCTTTACCTACTCTTCCTATCACTCTGCTCATACTCAACACAGAGATCCTCTCTGTAGGATATTGCAGATGCTGAACTTGCATTACCAATTTGCTTTCATTGTAGGATCTCTCCTCAACCCTAGGGATTATATATGGTGAAGGTCTCCATATTATCCTCTGGTCAGGTATTATTCATAAAAGACTTGAAATAACTTAAAAATACTCAATGACAAAAGGAAAAATAACTGAAACCACGTGTATTAGGAAAAAAAAAAAAAGGCAGGATATCTCCAAGGAACTTTCTTAGAGGACAGAGTGAAAAAAAGATGACAGAATGATGATTTATGTCTGATGCTCCAACATACTGCTACAGTCAATGCATCTCGTCAGCAGGATAGGACCGCTGCAGCATTATTCTTCAGAATATATGTGATATCTGATAATAGGATGCATCAGAAGTACAGAGAATTTTTTTGAACAGTTAGGGAAAGAATTGCAGAAACCACAATAATGGCTAAATCATCAGATGAAGCAACCCAGAGAGAGAACATGCTTCTTCTCCCTGAAGTCCTGTAGTCATACTTCTGCTATGAAATAGTTAAAGACCTGTCAGAATTTCCATTATAAATGGCAGGAGTTTATAACTCATAAAAATACACTCCAGGCTGAAATTTGGCATAGTTACACCCAAGCCTTGAATTTTTTTGTTTGTTTGTTAATAGCCAACTTTTGTAAGTGGTGCAGCTGTTCTTACTTACTTGTGAACAAACTATAGAAATTTATCAATCTGAGATGTTTGAAGCATGAAAAATACATTCATTTACAAGCATTTAACTGACAAGCGCTAAGTTCAGTTTCAGTTCTCATCATTCAGATTTGCTGCTCTCCCATCTGGGGTAAATGACGCAGGACAGTCAGAGGTTTCCCTTCCAGTGACGCAGTGGCATTAGATAATGAAAATTAGAAAGCTTTGTAAGGTCCATTAGCAATGGAGTCATTGAATGACAAAGTCAGCCAGTGAAACCCACTTCCCCTTCCTACCATTGCCCATTCTCCCTCCTTTTATCCAAGGCTCAAGTCTGAAGGTGACAAAAGCAGGGGTAAATATTTGCACAGGACACCCAGTCTGTGAGCTACATCTATTGGCAGGACCACGTCTATTCATAGGAAAGGGAATGCTTATTGGTGCTTTGCCCTTGGTTTCAGGCACTCTGTTACTGTTTATTCCAGTATCATGGCTACAACTAAGACTGGATTCTACTTACCAGAGAATACTTTCAGATTTATATTGTCTGATATGAATAACTAACTCTCCTATATAACAAATAGGCCATTTTAATTATGACTTTAGAGCTGGTAGTTCTCCAAATCCAAGCACCTGCCATTAATCTACTACTCTCCCTGCTAAATATGATAGCCAAAAAAAAAAAAAAAAAAAGGTAAGGAAAATGGTCTGAGTCCACCAAGAGCAAAAGTTTAAAAAGGGCATCTGTGGACTTCTTCGTAATGAAAACCAGATTCAGCAACTGTACAAAAAGACACTTAAAACATGTGAACTTTCTGAGGCCTTGGGAAAGACATCTGCACTACAGGACTATAAAGAACTATGAAATGCAAAGCCCCTGACACGTGAATACTGATCATTACCACCTGGAAAATAAGCAGAAATAGATAATACAGGCTCCCTACAGCCCCCCTTCTTTTGGGTTTGCAAATTCAACCAGTTGGAATACTTATATTCACACTCTCAGTGTCTTCTACTTTTATCTCATTTATCCTGCAAGCTTTCTTGTACATTTATCTGTCAGAGTCATCAGCTTAAGCTACTTCTTCTTCCCAGGAAGTGATTGTCAAAGCTAGTTAAGACGGACTCATCAGACAAAGCCCCATTTGTGTGCTTTACCCAACGCCTATCCGAGATACTGAGTTTTCCTGAGGGAACATATGAAGGCAAGAAGAAGCCAAAAGATAGAATTGGAAAATTTCCAGAAAAAATCTTACTTTTTTTTATTACTTAAGCACAGTTCTTTCCTCTTCTACTTCTCATTGTTGTTATTAATTTGTCATCTCATCTCTTCTTTCAAACTCGAAAGCCAGTTTTCCTTTTTTTGACTCTCTCAATTTCTTTCTTTCTTTCCCCCCCCTCGCAAATGTGCCACTTCTTTCTTTTTCCAAGTCCATCACTTTCTTTCTATTTTTAAGGCCAAAGAAATAGTCCATGATAGGGCAACTTTTCTTACTGACTACAGATATTATCTCTCTGCTCATCCTGCCTCCTGACAGATATTCTCAAAACCAGATGTAAAGATCATCCACTCTTCCATTCAATGTTTGAAGTACCCTTTGCCCTTTGGAACGTCTCCAGAGCTTGCCCTGCACCTTGCCTCCCCCGCCCCAGCCCCGTTCCATATTTCTTGCACAGTTTTTTCCGCTCCTTTGGTGGCAAAGTGACCTCAGTAGCACTTGAACTGAGTTGTGCCCTGTTTACAGATCCCACTTGGAAAACTTTCCACAGGTAGAAATGAAGACTATTCTACTAGCTGTAGGATTAGTAAAGGGTGAAGATAAGGGTGAAATACAGAGAGTTTTTAGCTACTAAACACAGCTATATTGTGAAACATGCTAAAGGATGTCTCCTTCACACTGAATATTAGGGATTCATACAATATGCAACATGACTTTGTTTGCTTCTCTTCATGTAACTAGGAATAATAATCTATGGATTGCACAAGAATTTTTTTATTTAACCCTTTAAAAGGAAATTGAGATCCCATATATACCTTCTATTCAATAATTTTATTACACATTAGAGATGACCTGATCTTGTATATTGAGTATTCTTTTTTAAGTAAACCTCCAGTGATGCAATGATAAATACAAAATTTAAACTAAATAATATGTATGAGCTAAACAAGTTCATCAAGTTCTGGGTTAATTTGGGTTAATTTTTTTTCAGTCTACAGAAATACTGTGACACTGCCAGGTACCATTCATTACACTGCACTTTGCATATATACTGAGCTCCGTTTTACATGTAACTGAGAATATAGCATGTTGAGAACTACACTTAAGAAAACTGACTACATTTAAGATTGTATGTAAAGATGCTGCTGTTTAAGATACAACATGAACAAATCTGTAGAATAACTTCACAAGAAAAAAAATTACATTTCCAACCCTTCTAGATATTTCCAGAAGAGTTTCTTTCATTCTAACAATAGCTCATTACTGGAATTGAATAACAGACTGAAGACTGCCTCTCTGCTTTTCAATTCATCAGGCTTAAGCAGAAACAGGACTGCATCTTTGGCCTTTGTTGATGCTGCTGTCCAAGCTTATTATCATATGAATATCTAGTTATTGTTTTATAAATGTTCACATTTTGGGAGCTCTCTGCTTTCTTTTCTCTCAGCAGACTTCACAATATCCACCTTCATTATCATCATGTGGCAGCATTGCTCTTCGCCTGCATTTGCTACTTTAAAAATTAATGCACTGCTATTTTCTGAACACTGTACTGCATAAGCTGCTTATGAGTACATTATGCTATCAAGCAAGCACATGCAGAAAAGCTTCCTAAACTGTTATTCTTTCAGTGAAAATACAGCTGGTTCTGCTTCAAAGGCACTTCTTTTCACCTGCAAATGGACTTGCTCCTACACTTACTCCTCAATTCATTGTCTTTTATTTGTGTCTGCAAATCTGTAATTGCCTTTAATTAGAAAAAAGTAAATTCAGTGCTT